TGCACAAACAATGAATCATGGAACACTTCATCTAGAACTAATGATGTAATGTATGGGGATTAACATAAGAATAAAAAAAAAATTAAAAAAAAAAAAGGAGATAACTTTATTTTCTCACTATCTGGCAGCTGCAAGTCCGTGATCAAGGTGTCGGCAGGGTTGGTTTCTTCTTCCTCCCTCCTTGCTTGTAGACGGCTATCTTCTCCTATTGTCTTCACATCGTCTTCACTGTGTGTGTGTCCGTGTCTTAATCTCCTCTTCTTATAAGGACACCAGTCATATTGGATTGGATTCCACCCCACTGACCTCATTTTATCTTAATTACCTCTTTAAAGGGTCTGTCTCCAAATACAGTCACTTTCTGAGGTACTGGGGATTCGGGCTTCAACCCTAACCATATTCAATTCAATATGAATTTTTGGAGGACATAATTCGTAGCAACTGCTTAATATGTAGTAGGCACGCAGCAAACATGTGTTAGACAAATGATAAAACCATGAGCATACCAGTAGAAAAATAACTAAAGGAAAGACACTGGAAAATCACAAAAGAAAAACTCAAATGGACAGTAAACACATAAAAATATGCCCAGTCTCATTGAAATCACAGAAACACAAATTAAGACAACATTGAGATATTATCATTGTGCCTATCAAAATGGCCAAGATGAAAAAGAACAGACAATAGCCACCTGGACGAGGACAGATATGTGGAACCCAGCTCTTTGTTACCTTGCTAGTAAGAATGTACTTGAAACACACCTTGGGCAAGGCAGCTTAGCATCATTTTTCTAAAGTACCGCATTCTGGCAGGTGAGCAGACATCCTTAAAGAAGTGACCTGAAGGGTAGGTCTTAGCCAAGTGAAGGAGGAGGGAGGAGCAAATAAGGCAGAGATAAGGCCTTTGTGTGAAGGCCCGGTGGTCAGAAAGCACAGTGCCTTCCAAGAGGCGGGAGAGTAAGGAGGGGAGGGTCCCCATCATGCTGTCTGTCCTAGACCAAGGTCAATGTGAATGTCGTCTTCCTCCCCAAATCCCACTGCATCAACATCTCCATTCACATCTAGTGCATCACCCTGGTTTATTTGCTCAATTACAACTTATCATTATCTAAAGGGCCTTTATTTATACAATTTATTTAAATATCTGTTAATATATCTGTTTCTTCCTCCAGTCGACAAGAATAAGAGTTTTGGTCCTTTTACCAATGGCAGTTGTAAGCCTCTGAAGGGATTTGAGCAGAAGGTGATATGCAGGTGTGCATTTTAGAAAGATCACTCCAGCTACTGTGTGCAAAACCCTCTGAAGATTGGAGGCAGGGTGGCACATCAGGAGGCTGCTCAATAACCTGACCAAAGATTACAGTGACCAAACCAGTGGAGGAACAGTAGGGAGTGAGACAGTAAGTGGATGCTGGAAAAATATGAGAGTCAGCATCAATAGACTTGCAATGTATTCGACCTTGGGAGAAGGGAGTATGGGTGCCATCTAGTTTTTGGCTGGAGGAGTTGAATGGTGGTAATACTTTCTGAGGGAGTAAAGGAACAGGAGGAGGAGTTTGAGGGGAAGAAGTCAATTTCCATCTTAAACACATTGAGTTTGAAGTACTAGGAGATATTCCCATAGTGAAGTCCTAGGAGGCAACATATAGATATTATCTATATAAAGTCAAAAGTGGAAGCCAAAATCCATAGTTGGGATGAAACAACCCACATAGGGTGCTAAGGCTACCCAGGACCTGTCTACACAGCCCCAACCACTAGGGTCCTGAACAACACAAATCAAGGCCGGTCTCATGGGGCTGCCAGGACATGGAAGACGTTACAGGGCTTCATGGTGAGGCCAACACCATGGAAGGTGAACATTGTCCCCACATAAGGCTGATTCTGAGAGAAAGATTTCACAAAGATTTTATGAAGTCCAAAAATTATAATACAGTATCTTTTATAAAGGCCCTTCCTTAACCCCAGCATCTTCCCTTCCCAACACAGTAACCATGTACATACAAATCGGAGTCGGGGGGAGGGTGCCTTAAAGAAGAGGCAATTTTTCCTTTGTCATGTGTGTTGAAAAACCCTTTCTCAGTTCATTGTTTATCTTTTGACTTTGTGTGTGGTTTCTTGTTGTTGCAGTATAATTGACAGGTGATATTTTAAAAAAGATTTGATTTATTTGAGAAAATGAGTGAGAGCAATAGAGAAAGCACAAGTTGGGGGGAGTGGGGAGGTGGAGAAACAGACTCCCCGCTGAGCGGGGAGCCTGACCCAGGGCTCGATCCCAGGACCCCGAGATCATGACCTGAACCGAAGGCAGACGCCTAACTGACTGAGCCACCCAGTTATACATATACCACATTTCCTTTATCCGTTCATCTATCTGTAGACACTTGGGCTGCTTCCCTATCTTGGCCATTGTACATAATGCAGCACTGGACATGGAGGTGCGGATATCTTTTCAAGTGAGTGTTTTTATTTTCTTTGGATAAATTCCCAGTAATGGAATTACTGGATCATAGGGTAGTTCTGTTTTTAACTTTTTGAGAAACATCCATACTGTCTTCCACAGTGGCTGCACAAGTTTGCGTTCTCACCAACGGGGCACGAGGGTCCCTTTCCCCACTGTTTCTGGTATTGTTCATACACAAGAGTATAAATGTTTTCAGAAATCAAATTTAAGTCATCAACTATTTTCCTTAGGATTTTTGAGGTTAAGCCTGGAGCTCCCAATGTTCAATAAATCCCCTTTTTCTTTGTTCTTTATGAGTCGATTCTGAAGATTAAAAAACAAACAAACAAAAAACCCCACAAGAACTCACAAGGTAGGATCAGCAATATCTTAGGTGAAGAACTCTATTTTTTACATAAGCCAGGTTATGTTTTGCCGCCCCATTGAATTTTAAAAATTCAGTATTGTGTTTATCCTAGAATTGATTTTTGAGGATGCAGGCATTCACAGGACACTGTGTCCTTTCTTAAATACCTCTCAGGAAAAAAAATCAGGCATCACTAATCAGATCTATACAATTGGCTTGTTTCAGTTTTTGGACTGTGTGAATGTTGGATTGGTTTATGTTTCTCCCTTTGCACTGGATGCTAGGATACTCAGATCCAATCTTATTTATGCTTCCTTTAACAAAAAGTTCATCTTCCCAAAGCATGTGTTTGGGAATTAATATTTGCTCTGCTTTTAAGTTTTTTCTATCTTTTATTTCCCTTCCTCCAATTTATCTTTTTATTTTTTTACTTGTCTTTAATACAGCATATCAAATCCTTATTGAAAGTGGGTAGGAGGGGGGCGCCTGGGTGGCTCAGTCGTTTAAGCATCCAACTCTTGATTTTGGCTCAGGTCATGATCTCAGGGTTGTGAGGTCCAGCCTGGAGTCGGCTCTGTGCTGGGTGTAGAGCCTGCATGGGATTCTCTCTCTCCCTCTCCCTCTGCCCTTCCCCTCCACACCCTCTCCCCTTGCACACACTCGTGGGTGCTCTCTATCTCTCTCTCTCTCAAAAAAAAAAGGGGGGTGAGAAAGATAAGAATGGGGGGTAAAAGAGAAAGATGGGGGTAAGGAACAAACTCTTCTAAGACTTGTACTTGGCAATCAACATCCATTATTTACATTACCAAATTACATTTAACTTCACCATGGGGTTCCTTCATGTAGAATTCCCTGAAAACATTTACATTTTCCTTTGCTTTAATAAAAAGCAGTTTCCCATAGACACAGTATCTCTCCAACATGTCTGCTGTGTAAAGCAAATTTTATCTGTATTTCAAAAGAGTTTTGCCCAGGTCCAGCAACATCTGTATGTAATGGGAAGAACCCAGCTCCATGCTGAACTCCAGCCTCCTCTGGTCGTTGCCCTTTGTCTATCCTAGCTGGCTGTGTGGTGAAGTGTCTGAATATGTTAGCCGGCTCTCCTACAGGCATGTTCCTTTCCATCCTCACTAGGAAGAGACAGAGATGTGGAGTTGATGTGATCACTCACCAACCCAAAGTGCCAGAGGCAAAGCAGGTAAGAATTCCTGTCTTCACTCCCTGGGCTTTTGCCACCATGTCACATTGCATCCTTCTTTCCCAAATGATTCCAATAATGTTCTCACTGCTATTTAGCAAAAATATACAGTGTACATCTGTGCAGTAGTCTCTCTTAGACACATGAACACACACACAACTTTTAACTATGATGTATAGCTTATTCGATATACATTTCCAGGTCAAAATTAAAAATATAAATCTTGGGGGGTGCCTGGCTGGCTCAGTCAGTTGAGTGTCCCACTCTTGATTTCGGTTCAGGCCATGATTTTGGGGTTGTGGGATCGAGCCCCATGTCAGGCTCCATGCTCAGTGGGGAGTCTGCTTGGGATTCTCTCTCTCCATCCCCCTCTGCCCCTCCCCCCACTCATGTGTGTGCTTTCTCACTCTCTCTCTCTCTAAAATAAATCTTAAATATGTATATATATACATATACATATATGTGTGTGTGTGTATATATATATATATACACACAAAAATCTTGGTCTCCTTACACCCACTATGATGGCTACTATAACAACAAAAAATAGGGAAAAAAGCCCAGAAAATAACAAGTGTTGGCAAGGATGTGTAGAAATCGAAACCCTTGTGAACCACTGATAGATTGGTACAACTGCAATGGAAAATAACATGGAGGTTCCTCAAAAAATTAAAAACAGAGTTACTATATGATTCAGCAATCCTACTTCTGGGTACATACCCAAAAGAACTGAGAGCAAGTTCTCAAAGAAATTTGTATACCTATGTTCATTTTAGCATTATTTATAATATAGTCAGGAGAACAAGCTAAGTGTCCACCAACATTTGAATGGATAAAGAAAATGTGGTGTGTGGACAAAGAAGACGTGGTATATATATATGCATATACACACACACACACACACAATGGAATATTATTCAGCCTTAAAAAGAAGGCTGTCATATGCTACAACATGGATGCACCTTGAGGACATTACATTCAGGAAAATAAGCCAGTCACAAAAAGAGAGTTACTATATGATTCCATATGATAATATGAAGCATCTAGAATAGTATAGAGACAATGCAATGTATAGAGAAAATACAACAGTGGTTGTAGGGGCTGGGGGTTGGGGGAAATGGAGAGATGTTGTTTAATGGGCGTACAGTTTCAGTTTTGCAAGATGGAAGAGTTCCATAGATTTGTTGCACAACATGCATATAGTTAAGACTACTGAGCTGCACATTTAAAAAAGGTAAGATGACTCAAAAAAAATGGATCACAGACCTAAATGTAAAATGCCACCTCATAGAAGATAACACAAGAGAAAATCCAGATGACCTTGATGACTTTTAAGATATGACACCAAAGGCACAATCCTTGAAAGATTAATAAGCTGGACTTCATTAAAATTAAAATATTCTTCTCTGTGAAAGATAATGTCAACAGAATGAAAAGACAAGCCACAGACTTGAAAAAAAGTATTTACAAAAGACATATCTGACAAAGGACGGTTGGCCAAAATATACAAAGAACTCTTGAAACTCAACAATAAGAAAACAAACAACTTGATTAAAAAATGGGCCAAAGACCTTAACAGACACCTCACCAAAGAAGATATACAGATGGCAAATGAGTATGTGAAAAGGTAATCCATGTCATATGTCACCAGAGATAGACAAATTTAAAAAACAGTAAGTACCTCTACACAATTCTTAAAATGGCTAACATCCAGAACACCGACAACCCCAAATGCTGATAAGAATGTGGAGCCACAGAAACTTTCATTCATTGTTGGTGGAATATAAAATGGTATAGCGACTTTGGAGTACAGTTTGGCAGTTTCATACAAAATGAAACATACTCTTATCATATGATCCAACAGTCACACTGCTTGGTATTACCCAAAGGGGTTGAAAACTTATGCCCACACAAAAATCTGCACACAGATGTCTGTGCAATTTTGTTCATAATTGCCCAAACTCAGAAGCAACCAAGATGTCCTTCAACAGATGAAGAGATAAACTGTGGTACATTCAGACAATGGAATATTATTCTGCAACTTTATTTATTATTTTTAAAAGATTTATTTATTTGAGAGAGAGAGTGCAAGTAGGGGGAGGGGAAAAAGGGGGGAGAGGGGAGAGAGAAGCAGCATGGAGCCCAATGCGGGGCTCGATTCCACAACCCAGAGATCATGACCTGAGCTCAAATCAAGAGTCAGACACCCAACTGACTGAGCCACCCAGGTGCCCCTATTCAGCGACTTTAAAAATGAGTTTTGAAGCCATGAAAAGAGATGAAGGAAACTTAAATGCGTGTTACTGAGTGAAAGAAACCCATCTGAAAATGCTATGTATAGTACGATTTCAACTCTATCACATTCTGGGAAAGACAAAAGTATGGAGACAGTAAAAAGATCAATGGTTGCCAGGGATTGGGAGAGGGAGGAATGAGTAGGGAGAGCACAGAGGATTTTAAGGCACTGAAACTGTTTTGTATGATACTGTAATGATGGTAACATGTCACTATACATTTGCCTAAACCCACAGAACATACACCAAGAGTGAACCCTAATGTGAACTATAGACACTGGATGATAAAGATGTGTCAGTGTAGGTTCATCAATTGGAATAAATGGACCCCTCTGCTGGGGGATGCTGATAGTGGGGAGGCTGTGCATATGAAGATCAGGGAGTATATGGGAACTCTGTTCCTTCCACTCAGTTTTGCTGGGAACCTAAAGCTGCTCTAAAAAGTATACTAAAAAATAATAATTGAAAAAGTGGTTAAGATGGTAAATTTTGTTATGTGTTTTACTACAATGAAAAAACAACACTTGTTTGGTCTCTAAGGGACTATTCAAACTACATCAGTTTGAGACATTCCAAATTTGACTTCCATGAGAAAAGATTAATAAATTTGTGTTTTGGGGCGCCTGGGT